TTTTGTGTCCTACATGTGAGAAAGGACAATATGAACAATGCCCTGACCCGGTTCTACCAACATGATCTATTTATGTGTGAGAACTTGTCATACTATATTATGTTTGGAAGTTTAACACAGTGGTGGAATAATTCTTATATATTAACTGTTTGCCTAAAAGACTGAGGCGTTGTGGTGATTTAGGGGTTTGAATTCCTAGCCAGTATATCTGAGTTTGGGTTTCAGACCCAGTGTCAGAAGTTCTTATTGTTAGGCTGATTTCTTTATCAAATGAGTCATTTTTGAGTATTAGCTCTGATTATTATTATTTATTGTATAGAATAATAATAATAATAATAATAATAATAATAATAATAATAATAATAATAATAATAATAATAATAATAATAATAATGTACGCTGAGATCATTTAAATTTTTGTCTTACCTGACCCTGGATTCTTAGCTGAGCCTAGCAAGCTAAATACTGAGATAAATGCTGAACTGTTAAGGTCACTGTTTGTCAGTGAAAATAAGTGTGCATCAGTAGTGAAAAAGAGTCATTGCTCATTGGTCTCCAGTCAGAGTATGGAATATGGCCCTACTCTCACCCAGCAGAAAACTACAGAAAAAAACAAAGAGGATGGCTTACACAGCAACTTCCACTCTCAGAATCTGTTACTCCAAGACTCAGCCTGAATATGCCGGTCAAAATCAGTTTCAGGTGGATGAAGCCTAATGCAACAGTACACAAACAGGAATCATTCATCTTCCTCACCTTCAGGCTTGTGGTATCTTCAGCTTATGTCTTAGCTCTCTAATAAAACTAACATAGATCTAATTTAATCAAAGAATTATGTAACATTTTAAGGATGAAATGAAATAAAGTTGGCTGTTTGCCGTTTCTTGTGATTAACAGACTTCACTCTTTCAGAGCTGTGCTTCAGACCTGTGGACAAGGGGACATGTAGTGGTTCAGAGAGCAGATATGCATACATTCCAGAAAAAAAGCGATGCCAGTCATTTTCCTACAGCGGCTGTGGAGGGAATGAAAACAACTTCATAACCCGGAGACACTGCTTCCACAAATGCATCAGAAAGGGTAGGATTATTTTAAGAGATTCACTTTAATCCAATTCAGTTCAGTTTAGTTGATTTATATACTGCCAAATCACAACAGCAGTCACCTGAAGGCACTTATGTTGGTAATAAACCTACAATAATACAAAGAAAACCCCCAACAATCAAACATCCTCCTATGAGCAAGTACTTGGTGACAGTGGGAAGGAAAACCTCCCCTTTAACAGGAAGAAACCTCAAGCAGAACCAGGTTAAGACCCAGGATGACCCAAGGAAGACAGGACAATCTGGAACTGATCAGTTCCAAAGTTTGGCGTTCATTTGTTGTCTTTAATTATTCCATTTTAAAAATCTAATATGAAGACATTTTGTGGTTTATGTTGCAGGTCATGGGAAGAGGATGATGATCAGAGTAAGGAGGAAAAACTTACACAACATTCTTAATTACTCAAGAAGAACACTCGACTCTGCGTGAGATTCTACTCTGCTGTCAGCTGTATTTATGCCAATATATGTTTTGTTTGGGCTTTTTTTTTTTTTTTTTTTTAAGCTTTATGCATGTTTTTTGTTCTGCTCTGCAGCCAAGTCTGCCACAACCCCTTGACATCATTGGTCTGCCTCTGTGTTTATAGCAATATGATTTTCTTGACTTGTTGAAACATGTTTATTCATCTCAGGAATAATTTGAGCTTTATGTCATTTAAAAACTCTGTTAATTTTATTTTTGGTCAGACACATGAAAGTAATGCTGTGCTGCACTGTGCAGTTTGGAGTCATTGTTTAGAATCTGCATCTAAATGATGTTCATTAACTGAGATCGTTAGAAGAAAAGACTGCAGGATCCCCCTGTGGTCTAGATACTGGTGGCGGTAGAGGAGAATAAGCAGATGATGATGACGCTGATAGAGAATTTGGATCAAGCTCAAGGACAACCCACACTGGTGGACATGGGGAGGAGCAGGAGTAGATTACAATATGTTGTAATGGAACTAGAGGAGAAGCTGGAGATGGAGAAGCAAGGATATCAACAAGAGGAATGTCACAGATCGGCTCTTTCTTACTGAAATCAAACACATTTTGAAATAAGGGGGGGGGGGTGACTTTTTGAAGGAAAAAGTGTGACAAATGAAGCTAAAAGTGACACCAAAGAGGGATGACGTCCTTTCGTCCTAGATGAAGGTGAAGAATAATGATTGGACCCTGAAAAGAAACAAATGAGGGCAGACATTTCAGAGGATTTATTTTTTGAAAAGAAAAAAGCTTCATAAAAACAAACAGAGTTAGCCACTGAGACATATCATAAAGAGCCTTGTCCTGTTTGCTTGTCTGTGTGCGTCCCTTTGCCGCTCAGACTGCTGCTGCCATGACCTTTAATAAAGAGCTGCCATACATGAATGAAACATATACTGAACAGCTATAGCGTATACATGATGATCATGTCTTTATGTCTTTTCAATAATAACTTGCTCAGAAAAGGGCAAGCATAGTATCAAAGAATAATATTTCTGCCTTTCATTACAAAACATTAAAATTTATGACCTTAGCAGCAGCCTGAGTGACATGCAGAGACAGATGAGCTTTGATATCGCAGCAGGATAGTCGTGTTTTCGATTTACATCAGAATTTATGGAAAAAAATATAACATCTTACAAGCAGACTTTGAAATAATTGCTACACCGGGCTGCTGAGGACGGTGCTATCTGTTGGTGTCGTTGTACGTCAGGCAGCATCTCATATTCTTCTGTAGCACACTTGGCTTGGGATAACAGATCTTGTGTAAAAATTATTTTTTTTAATTACCTAAATTTGATTTTTAATGAATTAAACTTGTTATTCACATTGTTTCTATGGCTTATTGACAAAAAACATTTGTTTGGCTGATGTTTATGCTCTGGGCACTAATGCTTTGCACTGCAGTTATTATATGTATACATATTTTATGTCTTTCTATTTTTAAGATCAGATATTATCGTTTCGATTTAAACTTCTCACTATAGCCTTAATGGGAATACATCTAATGCATATTTACTGTGTATGTACAGCAGCTGATGCTATTCTACTGTGGTATTGGCATAGTTTCTCTTCAGTGTGAACGGCAGCATTAAAGTTGTGCACAATTCTTCGTCCAGAATTGAATTTTTTTAAAGCAACTCCACAATCAAGAAACCATCACAGCTGTAAATCATTGTGAACAGGATAATGACTGTATTGTTGTTTGTTGTTGATTTTTTTTATGACTTTAAATCAATGTTTTCAAGCTTTGGAATGTTGTTGGTAAGAAAAGCCAGAAGGGGGCAGTGTTGTGTAAAGAAAGACGTTTGTGAGCAGCAGACGAACAGTGCTGTTTACTGTACATGGCTGTAATGGATGGGACTGAAAGTTTATATAATACATTTCAACAATCCTATTGTGTTTCGTGTTTATTTACTCTCTTTCCATCTCTTTTAGTTTGAGTGACAAGTCCAGAGTTTTACACTGGAAAACAAAGAATAGCAAAATGGCCTTCAGAACTCTAAATAAGACAACAGAAATTGTTTAGAGTTGCAAGAATTGTCAACTGAACTATCAGCTTTATAACAACATAAAGCTGACACTTTACACCCTGCACAACAGTTGTGCAGGGTGGGGGTGAATTTTTTTTAAGCATCCTTCTAGGTTACCCACTGAGACGTATCACCTGATATAGTTCTAGTTTTATAGGATGGAACTTTCTCCTGTTTTGAGTGAAGAAACACTCTTGAACCCATACACAATCATCGTTTAATAGTTAGCTGGTAAGCTGCTGGAATATATCGCTCTCATCGACAATAGAAATATAAGAGTGGTGCAAGAACTTTGTAAGTCTTTTTCCTCTAAAATGAAAAGTGGATCCAAATCATGCTAGCTAAGTGAGTCCAACAGCATAACAGAGACACAACATCCCATCAGTGCAGGATCAAGGGTTCAGATATTTCCTTCAGTCTGTTACGCCTCTGTTTGTGTGCTTTACCAGCTGGCGGTAACCCTCGTTGTGGCTGAAATCACTCAATATCAACTGAATTCTGAGTGTGTAAATCCACTTTGACACCGTGTTCAAATCGTAATCTCACAGAGCAATTCCTTATAGTTTACAGAAAATGCAGCCTCCTACAGAAACACATCTATAAGTAAATGCTAATGAGATTATGTTTTTACCTGTATTTCTAGCTTATAATACAATAAATCCTCATCATATGTCAGATCCTACAGTGGAATAATGTTTGTCTGTATCTTACTTTACTAGAAAGTGTCGATGTATATATGTGGCCTGTCAAGAAAACACATTCCCCTGGCAGTAGACTCATTTTATCGGGGCATATATGTTTATGGCTTTAGAAAGCATCTCCAGTACTTTCATAGCAGCAGTTTGGTTTGAAACTGCACCTGATTTGAAACAGAGAAAGTCAGAGAAGCAAAAGGGATTCAAAAGCTACAAAAAGTGCTTTTACCTGTGTGTGATCAGTAATGACCCATCCACCAAATAACGAAGAATCCATTTATAAGAAATGTATGAATGCGTGGTAGGCTAGATGCACAATTATAGATCACGGGTAGAAGTAAAATAAAATATAAGCCGATGTCTTAACCCAGCCATAATGGAAGAAAATTAACAAAAATGGAGGCTTAGACGTATGCTTTAAATGTCCCCGTGTTTAAAATGATCCATTTCATTGTTTCTGCAGGCTTGGAACGAAAAGATCACTCAAAATGCACAAAACAGTTTCCCCGGTGAAGTGCCTGTGAGCAAAAACACTCTTTGATAACACAAACTGTGGATACACGCCTGCATTAGCGTGTAGGAGTGAAAGGGGCACATCATCCTGCACTGTGCCGAGCTCGCCACAGATCGCAGGTCCTCAGCTGTAGCCTACAGTGTGATGTAACAGGAAGTAGTGGGTTGCCTTCCAACGTCAACCTGACAGCCGTCTGAGCTGCGCTCATTGAGCGCCGGAGGTCCACCGTGTCCAGTTCTCTGCGCTGAAGCCGAGGAGGAAAAGACGCTTTGGGGGACTGCTCTGAGAGTTTATTGCGGTTCCTGCCTCTGCGCTCCGGGTGGATTTTACTCTGTGGTAGGACGTGCTACAGTGAAGTGTGAATTGCGGTCTACGCGCTGTGTCTCTTCCATGTTTTGTAGGCAATTTGAGCAGCAGTCACGTCGAATGCAATTAGCGCAGAGTTGACAGGGCATTCTGTTGCTTTATCCAGGGCATTTCAACTGTATGTGCACTGAGGGAGCCGGGGAACATGCACTTATAGAATGGCTGAGCCCACTCTGAACGATGAGCATCCGCTTGAGCCGCATTGTCCCTCTGTCAGGAGCTGAATGCAAGAAATGTCGAGGTGTAGGAAGAAAATAAAGAAACGGCTTTGTTTGTGCGCTTTGGACACCGTTAGACCAAAAAAGCGCGTTGTGCGTGATTATTTGTATCAAATTTATATATTAGTTCCGTCTAATGAGACATTCGCACTCACCCCTGTCCCGTTTTCAGGTGGTTTTAGGATCTTTTCACACCCGCAGAAATGATAACACTGTTGGTAAATGAATTCAGAGGTTACATTTTAAGATGCATGCATGGCCAATTTAGATTTGACATGTGATCTATACACCTACTAATGACTGATACCTCATAGGAAGGGATGAGACGCAGTCAGGCGTTTGTTTAGATTTTTTACATTAATTAAACGGAATAAGAAAAAGAATCAGCTCCATTCAGCACCGACGCTTTGATGTAAGCGGCGGCCACTGGTTGCTAAATCATCTGCATGGTTACATAAGGGGCAGATTTGGACATGTTGGAAGTTTGTGGGCTGGACAGTGAAAGGGATCATGATGATGATGAATGATGGTTGTGATGATGGTGGTGTGTAGGAGGAGGATGTGATGACGATGGCCACAATTGGCGGACTATATTCTGCTGAGGAAAGATGCATTCGAGTCATTACAAGGGAGGTGACAGAGCAGAGGTAACTCCCAATCTGAAGCTGACTGGGTTTTTAACAGATGAGTTTCTAGATATGTTTGAACTCCGTCGGTTTTGCAATGTCGAGGTGGAGTATTCTCAGATGACTTCTTGTGTTTATTAAATGTTGTTTAGCCTAATTTAGCACTTTTGTTATGGTGATTGGGAAATATCAGCAGTTGAATTCATTCAAAAGGTTGAGCCAAAAGATTTTATGTGCCGCTTTTATTTGCTGCTCTGCTTTTAAACGTGCAATTTCAACTCATGCCTTAAGTATTTGAACTCTCCACGACCAATGAAAGAGGATGTTTGGAAAACTAAAAGAATTCAGTTAAATATTAAGTAAGTTGCTTTGGTCACTTCAGATCATTTAAAATGTGATAAGTTTAAGATGCAGAAAAATTCGTTTCAAAGCACATGTTTGGCCCAAAGTTAACTTCTTCTTCTTGGAATAAACACATTTTTAGATCTCATTTCAAGATGAACACTGATTAATATTTCATAAAAGGGCTAACATAAACAACAGAAACAGACATTTCTAATTAAAAATGACTAAAAAGTGCTTTAACTTTGGATTATTTTGTACAAAACCAGCAACTTTGAAGGAGCTTCTTTTACTAGTTGCATGTCAGAAATCACTTTAACGAAAGTATATTAACATTATTTAACAGTTTTCAAGAAAAATCTGAGAAATATTAAGCAGAAATATAGCAGCACTAGTTAATTTCTGCTTTGCTGTCTCTGTGATGATCTCACAGATGTTCAGATTTGTCACGCACACCTCAAAAACAAAAACAGCCCATTACTGCAGTGCTCCACCCTGAATGTCACACCTAGTTAAATGTTAAATGTTCAAGTTTACATTATATGCACATGTTTATTCTTAAGTATGGGAAAGGTAAAATAACGCTGAGAAATGCCAGAAAGTAAGCCTAGTAAAACAGTGGATCTGCTTTCCTGCCCATGCATGTCGGCCGTCAAGACACTTTGGACAGTGAACGTATCGAAGCTGCCAGTTGGCAGGGCTGTCTGATGAGTCTTTGAGGCCATTTCGCTCTGACATCTTCCAGCGGCTCAGGCCTACACCAAATTCATGAGCCGATTGTGCAATGGGAGTGTCGTGCAGCTCATCACATTTAACCCATGCTGAGTGTTTACTGCCCACGTCTAGAAAGCAACTATTAAATGTGGGTGAGACAAAGATCTTGGCAGCAAAGCTCCCCAAACCTTTGCAGTCTTCATGATATAGCAGAGCTTCTCCTACAGCCATGGCATTTAGAAAGCTGTGCTAGTGGCAGCTCGTTTGCAGTGTAGCCGATTCATATGGAGAACCGTGAAAAATAAATTTCTTCAGGCCTTAGAAGAAGCTCTCATGTGGCTTTTTTGTAGTGATAATACGTGTGTTGAAACTGGAGCTTTTTGTGAAGAATTTATCCTGTAAACTCCAGGTGACCTTCTCTGGTGAGTGCAAAGGCCATCCGATTCACAGTCACAAGCGTAATGATTATTCTCGTAAAGCGTCACCCCTCATAAATCACCAGGACACAGCTCCTGATCGATTCCTCTGTTTACTTCCTCATCCTGTTGGGGACACTGCAGACCTCTCAGACCTCTATAAAAACCTTCATGACCACAGGTTTCTTGCAGCACCTTTCACTGTCTGTCAGATGTATTTAAATTGATTTCCTATCATGTTTCAAACTGAGTCTCCACCTCTTTTATATATTATATATTTTCTTCCCTGCTCACTCAAGACTGAAGCTATCGTATTACACAAAAGCACAGTGATGTACATATGCAGCACTCCCCTCAGCTTCTGGATTCAGTTTCAGGGATATGAAACCTTTTGAGGTAATTTTTTCCACTCATACATTATGAAGGGTAAATGTATTTCTCATCTCCAGTTTAAATTGAGGTGCCTGATGGGACGTGTCGCAGCCTAATGTCGTCGGGAGCAGCTTCAGGACGGCTTTGTTGCTGTGTAGTGATTGGCATTTTGAACTGCAGCACTCTGCGAAGGATAGAAGGAAAAGGCTGCATGGTTTCTAAGGGTCTTCCATGTTTGTGTGAGCTAAACAAACTGAGTGATACAAGCTTCTTGATTTAGTGTGTGGGAGGGGGCTTCTGGCATACACAATAGAGGAAATGGTCCCTGGGAAGAGCTACATGTTTGTCTTCCAAAGGTGAACCTGGAGTACTAGCAGATGAGTATAGAGCAATTTTGTTTGTTTTTTTCGCCATATAAACTCATAATAAATTCTTGGGGCTTTGATGGAAGATCATTAATAAATAATCTGGTACATTAAGTGCAGAGATTTCTTGTTTGAGAGAGCTTGTTTCCAACCACTTAACACTGCTTCACATTCCTCTTCCACCCTGCGTTTTCTGCAGCTCTGAGCAAATGTCTGCAGCAGCCATTTCTGTTGGATTTCCAATTAGCTAACTTACTCTAGCGTGAAAATACGACTATTATTACTGTCAAGCCCAGGCTGCCGTAAGCTGTGCCAAAAATATCTCCATTTTATTGTAGTTAATTGGTTTTCAAGGTTAATAAAAGTCTCAAATTGCTTGTTTCCCCATTGAAAAACACAATATGTTATTGTCTGTAGTCTGTGTAATGGTCAATATCATAACGTTGCTTTGGTTAAACATATAGGGAACTATAGCCACTGGGAAAAAGCTCTGTTTGCTGTAAGGGATTATTTGCATGAGTGGTATTGCCACTCATGCAATACCATGAGTGGCCACTAGGAAAGATTAGCAGGAAGGATGACTAGAAGCAACTAAGGGTAATATTTAAAATTCATTACATTACAAGATTACGGATGTTAAAATGGTCTGCAAGACAATTCTCTACAAAAGTCTTGAGCCACCTCTCATTTTTAAATATTTTGTTTCCAAAGAGTCAGACTGTTGTATTTTTTTAAGTGATCTGGAGCAATGGTTGGCTCAAGACCTTTGCAGCCTATGGTCTAAATATACTGACTAGCCAATCTCAAAGCTAGATTTGGAGGTGTAGTACTGACATGACTCTCCTCCTTGTTATGGAGCTAGGATTCAAAATGTATCATAGAGCCTCTTAGCAGCTCACATGCAATTATTAACACCTCGGGACAGGAAAATACCTTATAAAAGCCTTAGCATGTGCACTGACAACCATAAAACTGCCCCAAATATTGCAAATGTGTCTGAGCTTTCTTTTTTGTGGCAATGAAAGGAAGTGCTGTAACATTTTAACTGTATATTTTTGTCATTAACATTAGAACAAAAAGGTAATCTGAGAACTCTAACATTTTATTTTGTAAAAAGTTACACCCAATACTACTAGTGACACAGTATCCATGTAACCATCAGACATGCATGAGACTGATGCTCTGCGTAGCGTTGAAGCCAGACAGAGCCACAGACCGTATAATGCACTAGATTTCCTGCTAATGCTGCTTTACTGTCCAGCTTACAGACAGGATCTTGTCTTGCTCTGGATCCTTATCTTGCTGACCTCTCTAGTGACTAAGCAGACATCTACTGGGGAGGTTTGCATGCTAGTTACTCCTCAGCCTTACCAAACAAACACTGTCTGCCTTCAACCTCTTGTAGCATGCAATAATTCTTTTACTTGTTAATTTTTTGTGGTTTGAATAGTATGTCTTATTTTCTCTGATTAACACTTAATTTTCTCAATCTTTTTACAGGTAAAAGTTTTTTTTTTTTTACTGATAACAAGCAGTCCGTTATAAATTTAAAATAACTTTGCACCCTTTGTGACAGCAATAAGGGACAATGTCATGTAAAACTAACTGTATATGACCGTTATTCAGATATTCTCCACAAAAACAAATATATTTATTGAAGCTCTCATGTGTGGGCTAAGCTGTTAAAATGTTTTCGTTACACAAACACAAGGCACGCAGAGAAACTTGAACCGCTTAGTAGTGACGTGAATAGCACTTTCAGAGGTCAAGTCTAGGGCCCACAGCAAGCATACAGAGGATATTCCTTGGCTTCCTTTGGGCTGTTAATTTTGAGCTCCAGTGTTATTTTTGTCGTGGCACTACCCACAGGGAACCACTCATACAGGTCCCTGAGCAGCCTGTGCTCACTGTTGACTG